GCCACCACGGCTGCTCCAGCACCGAGAGGGGTCTGCATGGCTGCTTCAGCCCTGGGCATTCACACGGCTTGCACTGGTGGGACACGGGGTGATGCCATCCCTGCCTTGGAGCTGGCCTGGAGGAGGTCACCATGCTGATCTGTGGTTGTGGCTTCCAGCTTTTTCTTCTTGCGTATCCCACTTTTCCAGGATGGACAGGACTTGATGAGCACACACACAAAGATGCAAGGGGGGGATGCCCCCCATGTCACCCCCAATCTTTGCTAGCCATCATGAACAACAGAGGGGAGGGGAAGGCTGGAGGAAATCCGGGTTTGGCCGGCCGGCGGATGGGAACAGCAGGGAGATGGTAGCAAGGAGACGGGGAGTGAGAAGATGGTGTTGGTGTGAGCACAAACAGCCCTCCACCGGGCAGGAACACACTCAGGCTGCAAATAAGAGGGCAGCTGCAATGCCCCAGGGTCTGGAAAAGCCTCCAGCGGGGTCTGCCAGGAGAAACCCACAGGTTTTGCGAAGAAAAACAACATGGAGAACCAAAACCCAGCAAGAAAAGAGAGGTGGTGCAGGGGACATTTGCCAGCCCTGACCAAACGCCAGTTCTCGCTGCCGGCTTGCTCCGGTGGCACTGGGGATGCTCTCGCAGAGAGCAAAACCTTGCTGGGAAGGGAAAAGCACCCGGCAAAGGGCATCCTGCTTTTGGTCTCTGTAAACCAGGGAGGGATTAGCTGATGTGGAGGGGCCTTTAGCCCTTTTTGGGGGGGGTGGGGTGTCTTGGGGACCCCCCAGTGAAGCCAGCTGAGAAGCAGGGGAGGGATGGCGGGTGGGAAGGAAAGGTTAATTCCCATCCTCTCGGCAGGGATAATTCCCACCCAGGGCTGCCCCTGCTCACATCCAAGCGGAGCTGGCTGTGTTAACAGGGGGCAGCCCAGGTGGGATGGGGGTCGCCTTCGCCTCTTTGTCCGCATCCCACAGGCTCCAAGAGCTTTTCTTATCCCTTAAGGCCGCCTGGCTGCGGCGGAGGCTGGCGCGCTCCTGTCTGCCACACGCTTTGATTGCTCGAGCTGCGGGTTTGGAGCCTACGTCCCTGCTTTCATGCACGGCTCCATCTGTTAATGACGAAAAAAGAAAAGGCTGGGAGCTTTTGTCACTCTCGCTAGCCCCCAATAGCCTGCCCTACATTATTCAGTAATGACTGAGTGCTTTTTTGTCCTCCCCCTTCCTCCTGCTTTTCTCCCTGCTGCTATTTTCTTCCATCTTTTCTCCCTATGGCTTTTTTATTTCTCTGGCTTCGGAGAGTCTCCTCCTGATGCTCCCCTCTGCGCACACACACGCTGTCTCTCCCCTTTTGCTCAATTCCTTCCCCTTTCCTGAGTTTTTTCCCCTCCATCCCTCCCTCCAGCTCTTCCCAGTCCTTCCAGCCCAGCAGTCAGGGCACCGGCAGCAAGACCCACACGATCGGCTGACACGCTGCGGGGCCCCTCTCGCTGCTGGTCCCATCTTCCTCGTGGCAAGGGATGAAGCCAGTACCCTCATTTGGCAGAGTCTGGGGGCCACCCCATCATCCCAGAAGCATCCCAGTAGACACCATCCCATCCCTGCAGTCAGACCACGGCCAGACAGGAGACCGGACCTCCCCATCCCACCCCCCCCGCAGCCGGGACATGCCGGGTGATCCCTCCAGTGCCGAGCTGGGCTGCATCCCCTAACCATCCTCCACATCTCTGAGCTGTCGCTCGAGCATCTTTCTCCCAAATCAAATTATTTGCAAAATTATTAATGCTAGCTGTGCAGCTGTTATCTACCGGCGACCTTTGGGGGTGGTGGGGGGAAGTGCCTTCTCCCCGGCTGTTCGGCAAGCGCCCGGCTTCCCATCTGCCGCCGCGCAGGCAGCAGGGGGGGGGGCAGCCGGTGCGGGGGAGGCTCGCTCGACGCTTTTTGGCCACCAGAGCCGACAAAAAAGATTGAAAGATGCCAGGTAATATTAATCACGTTAAATGTCAGCGGCTGGGGGGGGGGGGGGGGGGGGGGGGTGCGCTCGCTCGGGCTGTAGCCCTCGGTCGGCAAATTAACTTTGATTTATGTAAGGAGATCAGAGCCTCATTTACTAATGCACCGGCAAATCTGGGCCCCGCCGCTCCCCCTCGGCTGCCAGCATGCAAGTGCCCACCTTAGCTGCTGGGACGGGGCGGGCAGGACCACAGGACGATGCCCGCGGGACGATGCCCCCAGCATATCCCAGGGATCATGATGCTGAGCTGGGCGTGCGCACACAGGAGCCCCATTCCCTTGACCCACGAATACTCCCAGCCTCCTGCAGCTCCACTGCGGCCACCGCGGCGGGATGCTCACTGCTGCAGGATGGCACAGCCGCTACACTGGGTTTTTTTGGACCCTGCCACCCCTTTGGTCCCTTTCAGACCCAGGCAGGAACTTGGGGGTCATTAAACTCCAGGAGGGACTGCCCAGGGTGGAGGGCAAGCAGGGATGCATTGGCCTTTCCCTCCTCCTCCTCCTCGCAAGAGAAGAGCTCGCTGCCGATTCCTGTCCCACGCAAACCTCACTCAGGGCCTGGGGTTGTCACGATTTGGGTCTCTCCATCCCCGCTCTGCTGGAGACAGAGGCAGGAGGGAGGCAGCCAGCTCACTCCCGTTTCCATGCCCTTACCCACGGGTTTCCTCCAGCAGCCAGGTCGCCAGCCACAACGGCACAGCCGGGCCGGCACGGCTGCACGCTGGCTGAGAAGCAAACAGGCTGTTACGGCTCTGCTGAGGCCAGGTCCCCTGTAGGGCCCATGGGGCTGTCCCCCCTCCCAGTCAGCTCCCCTCCAAGGGACGATGGGGATGAGGAGGGCATCTGCATCCAGGCACAGCCCAGGGGGCCGAGGCGATTCCCTCCCCCCTCCGTTTCCATTTGCAGCAGTAATTAAAAGCGTGGAAAAGTAGCATCTGGGCCCCCAGGCTCTGCGTGCCAAGATGCACCCGAGCATACAGACGTGAGCACACGCGGAGGGCGGGGGGGGACCCCTCAAAAACAGGACGAAAAAGCCCAGCCAGGCTGCTGCGCACGAGGAAAGCACGAGCAATGGCTTGGGGGGGGTTAGGAGGAGGTGATGGAAGATGTCCCCATGGGAACACCATGCCGGTGCTTGCCTGTCCCTGCCAAAATGGTGGTGGGCAAAGACTGAGCCCGTGAGGGCCCTCCCTTGCATCCTCCCCCCAGGAAACCCTGCCACCGTGCTGCTGAAATTAAGAATCAAATGACTTAACAGGGGTTTCGGCACATCGATAAATCTTGTTATGCCTTACAGCCGAGGCTGAGAGCGCCCGGATTATATCAGCGCTCTTCAACCAGTCCTCTCCCCACAATCCCAGCTCCAGAGCCTCCGGCAGTAATCCCTGCCGGCAAACTCGCTGCCTGCGGGGAGATGCCCTGGGATGCAGCCTTCCCGGGGGGGGCCGCACAGCATTTTGTGTCGTCCCTCTCCTGAGACTCAGCCACCGTGGGCTTCGCCAGGGCTTCCTCTCCTTCCTTCCCTCCCACCGGGTTTCGCCGAGCCTCTGGCACACTGGCAGCCACGCCAGGACTGTCCCCATCCAGGTCACCTCTTTCGGGGTGATCACCACCTCCCTTTAGGAGAGCTGCTGGCGCTGGGGGTGCTCCCCATGCCATGGGGTACCCCAGGAAGGTTCCCAGGGCTGACAGATGGAGCCGTGCAGGATGCAGAGGCTCAGGCACTCCACCATCGAGTTTTAGGTGTCTGCTCGTGCGTGTGAGGGCAAAGGCAACCTGGGGAGGGGGGCCACAGGCAACCATCACAGCCAAGGTGTGACCCCAGGGCTCGGCTGGCTGCGCTGTGGCCATCACCGGGCTGGCCCAGGCGGCACGTTAGGGCA